CGTCACTGGTATTTCTTTCATTTAAATGCCCGGTGATTTATTAAAGAGAATTGCTGAACGACTCCAGTATGAATGATGACAGTTGTGATAAATTCCAGAAGTAGCGGCTCAAGGCTCACACCACAGGAAAGCAGCAGTTGGTATAAGCCCCCATGGTCCCATAAGGAAGCACCAACAGTGTGTTTGTTATCATTTTATCAGTCCTGGTAACTGCGATGCATTTAATGCCGACACAAAAAAATCAATTTCTTGTTTGGTCAGTGGGATAGAAATGTCTTGGCCGTCTTGTTAGTGCAAAAGGAGAATAGGAGAGAAGGACTGACAAGAAGAAATATGTCGCTTAAGAGTCATTATTTTTATTCATATGTTTACCGCCGCCATTCAAAAAAGAACGGCAGCAAAAATGGCAGATTGATTTCTGTTTGACATATGAATCAGTGCATGCTCCGTGCAGCTGTTAAAATCTAAACTTGTCATCATCATCCTGTCTGTTTTTCATCAGTCATGCAGAGACGCAGCAAACTGCAAACATGATTAAAGGCAGCAGCGACGGCATGTTCACACATACACACACAAGTGCAACGACAGGAACACGGACATGAAAGTCTTTTACTGTTCGCAATGGTAAGTTACATTATCATAACAGGTGCCCGCAGATGAAGCAGCTTTGTGGTGTTCATCCGTGCAGCTCCAGTATGTGAGAATACAGATGTGGAAGAAAGAAAGAAATAAAAAAAGAAAACAGGAGCTCTGAGTTTGTTGAGAGCTCCCCTGACAGGAAGCAGAACCGGCTATTACTTCATATTGCACCATTTAAGCTGTTTTTTAATTTGGACTCTCCTGCTCCTTCCACCAGCCAGCGTCGTCTCTGGGGAAAACAATCAGGCCTCAACCAGAAAAGGCAGACAGCTCCAAACAGTTTAGAGAGCTGTGTACAGTTTGTGCGTTGAAGTGGGGCTTTGGATAAATGAAGTAAACTCTCTCTGTGTGTTTGAGACCGCAGCTGTCACTCTCACGCTCGCTTTGCTTTAGCATCTCTCAAACGCTGCTATTCTAGGAGGCAACGTGCGGCGACGCCATCGCACCCTCACATCCCCCCTGAGACGTCAGGCTGACTGTAGCCCCCTCACCTGTGTCTCCTTCCATGTCTATTGGCATTTTCTCCCTCTGGTCTATTCCCTTCACAACATGCACAGACAGACACTCGCTCACCCAACTCTGGAGACTAAAGGATTTAATTTCAACAAGTCAGAGAAGAAAAGGAGATTCTCAATGTGAGTGCTGAACTGTCAAGCCACAGTGTGAAGCACTCTGACTCACCTGGCTGCATGTTAACCTGGAGACTATAGCAGGTCCATGTGCTTGTATAGGCAACTATAGCTCCCTCTAGTGTTGAGAGATGATAGGTGTGATGTGGAGAGACAGAGAGGAGAGAGAGGGAGGGAGAGTAAAAGCATGTAGCTTGTGGTTTGGGCAAGGAGCAGAAGGCAGTTCTGTCAGGCCTGTGTCCTCTCCTTGTGTGAACAGGGACTATCAAAGTCAAGATATAGGGCCGCGAGGGAGATGAGGCCATAGACAAAGAGACTCAGTGAGCTGAGGTGAGAGGAGGCGGAAAGTGCTTCAGAGAAGACTTTCAGATTTCAGGAGAGGTGTTACGTAATCCGCACAGATGGTACTTTGAGTGTCTCTCGGCCCTCGTGTCATCCCAACCTCTGCCAGCACGTATTAAACTCTTGTTCAGGAGGGTGTTACGTGGCTAACTTTGATCACTCGTGCTGTTTACTGTGTTTTTTGTGGGTTTTTGTGTGTGTGCTTGTACTTGTTTCTTTGTGAGGACCATTCTCAGCCTAGACCTTATGCAGTGCGGACATTTTGGGAGAATTAAGACATTTTGTTTGGTCCTCGCTTTTTCACGGGGCTGTATGAGGGTTAAGACTTACTTTTAGGGTTAGGGTCAGGATTAGGGAGTATAAAGTAATCCTGGGGACTCCCACTGCCTCTTCCATCAAATGGGCAGTTTAGAGCCTGAGGCAAACACATGTCAGTCAATAGCTCAGTCTCTCAGGTTGGATGCAGAGTGAATTCTCCAAGTTTGTACTTTCAGTTGTTTGGATTTTTGCCAAATCTCTGACTGGTATCTGTGTATTTTGTAGAGGTGGTCTTACCTGCAGGTTCCAGGCCAGGACAGTTAGGTTTTGGCAGAGGTTAGGTTTGGGAAAATGGGTTGGTCAAGGCATGAAGACCTTGAAGAGTTATTTTAGTAAGTAGAGAGGGTTTTAAACCTCTGACCTCTATGGTAAAGGGGCTATGTCAACTAGTGTCCCTAATAAGAACTAGAATGTGTATCTTTATGTGTGTGTGTGTGTGTGTGTGTGTGTGTACTGGAGTAGCAAAGATGCACTATTCTCACAGGAGACATTTTCACCTCTTAGGACTCTAAGAGCTAACATGTTTATATTTTAGCAGATATATAATATTTACTTAGTTCAGTGTAACATTTGTTGTGCAGCACTGATAGGATATTTGGACGTGATCATATAACAATGTTAACCTTATTTTTAAAAGTTAAAAGGTAAAAGGTAAATTGGTCAACTTATTGCAAATATTTTTAATGAATGAATGTCTTTATTTTAGTTAATTGCAAACTGCACTATAGGTGGGATGTTTCATTCTGTACCATGATTGTCAACCTCATGGGGGCACTAGAGGAAAAGTTGGGGAATGAGCTGTAGTTTAAGATGTTACAGTAATCGTATAGAACAGAAATATATATTACAAATATATTACAGAAATAGTTGCACTACACTATACACTAAATCTACTAATGGCAAATGAAGGACAGAGCATCACGTTGATGCCAAATCAGATCTGCAATGAAATCATAGACAACCAGCTACAATCCTGCTACATGCTGACAAACTAAGAACCAAAATATCTTCTAACACCAGAGTTCATGAAAGAGAACTGGACTTATAAATCAGAATATGCACAAAGACCAACACTTTGATCAGAATGGATGATAAGTCTCATTAGTGTGTTTAGATAAGGCTTTATTAATCCAAAGGCCAAAGGAATTGTAGCGTGGATTTTAGACTGTCCCCACTTCATCCCGTCTTTGCTGCAAAGACACAAGCATTGATTTGCCTCCCAAATTCGATGTTTCTTCGTTTGCTCTGACAGCCATTGCCATGGAAACACAAGGGAGTGGAATTACAGTAAAGTTAAGAGGAAGGCTGTAACAGGGAGCTGGTCCAGCAGACTGTGAAGGGCTGGTATAATTCTAGACCAAAGACACAGTGCTACATCATCTCTCCGAGGCTGAGGGGAATGTTCCTCTGTGTTCTCTTAGTTTCTCACATCTTTCAGGAAAACAGAGTTAGTTTTCCATATGTTGGACACTCATCGGACAAGAGTCCTTCTCTCCGCTCTGAGTGGGAGCATTCCTGTGTCGAGACCTCTTTCCTCAAAAGTAAAAGCAAGAAATGGCTTTTATTCTTGCTTCTTACACAGATGGGGTGTTAAACATTGATAGGGCTGATGTAGGGAGAACTGGAGAGAGGGGGAGAGAGGGGGAGAGGAGAGAGAGAGAGACTTTTTTCTTGTTAAGTTTTGATTTGATTACTCTCCAGTATCATATTATGTGAGCTGGAAGGTCCTTTTTATAAAATACAGTAGCTGCATTTCAAAATGCATGCAAACGTATGGAGATGCAGTGTGGAGCGGTGACATCTTCTGGATTTTCTACTCAATGGTACCTCCAGATATTTAGTAGAGCTATAATTGGGTGGTGGTCTTATGACTGTTCTGCAGTCACCTCAGCCTCTTGCTTGTCTTGTTGGATTTTAGCTTCAGCCTTCAATAAGAGGGAGGATTGAAGGTACAGATTTTGTAGCTCAGGAACATTCCTCTGGAGCTAGCTGTGTATTTATTGTCGTTATTGCCGTCAGATAGGAAAAAACAACATATTAATTGTACAAACATCATAAACCAGACGTTAAATCTCATAATTGTTACCTTTTAATGTCATATGTGTCTGACCGCAGCCAAAACCATAAAAACATGGACCTTGCATGCACAAAAAAACATTCAGTGAAGTACACTCATACACATGCAGCAGGTTTGGGCACCCATTACCAAAACCTTGTCCCTAACCTTAACCATGACCAGATCATGCCTATCCCTAACCTTAATCTAACCACCATTCACATCTGACCACTGACCTTAACCTCAGAAATTAAGTCTTGGTCCCCATGAGACCCTGCTGGTCCTGACAAAGTAAAAAATGTATACGCAGTTTATATGAAAAGGTAAAATGAGTATATGCACACAGGGAAGCTGTGAGGTAGAGCGTGTTGTCCATTAACCAGAAGGTCAGCTGTTTGATCCCATTCCTCGTGCCCTCGGTCAAGATACTAAACCCCTGACGGCTGTTTTGGCAATATGTGATAGAGAGTGCTGCACATTGATGCACTGTACAAAATACAGGCCATTTACCATTCACACACACACATTGTAAAGTTGTAGTAAAGCGCATTAATATATACAGCCTCAATGTCTTTTAAGTCAAACTGTGCATCTTGACTCTTATGACAGAGGTGAGACAAGTATGTAAAAACTGCTACATCCTATACTTCCTCTATCAGATCTCTGCTTCCGCTGTCTGCACAGATACTGACGAAGGCTCACACATCAGCAGAACTGCAGACCACACTGTCACCCAACAGTCATGAGCCTAACCTTTGCAGAACCACAGAGCAATTCCTGGTTGATTAATCACTGTCTTACTCACATGTTTCACATCTCACCACATTGCATACTCAGCTGCTCTCTGAGACACTTCAATTCCTTCCCATCAAAGCCCTGGTAACGAGCTGCCTTGCATAAAAAGGTTGGTATAAGATCTGCTGCCTCGCTCAACAGTCCCCTGCAAGATGTGATGCTGTAAATGCAAAAATGTTTCGGCCGTAAGAATAAAAAGTGCAGCTTTGATATTGACCATTTAATAAAAAATCATAACTTTATTAAGGCAAATTTAAACTATTCTCAGGGAACAACATCAACGGATTATATCTTTGAATACAAATGAATAATAATAATGTAAAGAGCAACATTTTCAGTTTTAAAACATTATTGCATATACTATATTTGAAAAAAATAAGAATGTAGCTCCTCTGCTACACAGACACTTGTCTGCCACGAGTGGAGAGGAGAGCGTAGCAGATTGAGACTCAATCCTCTGCACCGAGTTTGGTATTCAGCGCATGTCCCTCTGTCCAAAGAGATTCGCCTGACTTCTTTCCTCTTGAGGCATTGGTCCGGAATATCTTCAGCACCAGCAGGGATATCACCAAAAGTGAGCATATGACAAGCGGTACAAGAATCCCTATCCAGGTACCTGACTTGCAATGGGGCTCGGACACACCTTCTCCTACAAAGAAGAAATAAGAAATGTATCACCTGCGACCACACGTCCACGCGATTTCACATTGAGTCAAGTGGGGCTCACCTTCTGTAAAGACATTGACAGTCAAGTGTCCAGACGTTTCCACCGCAACCTTCCACCATCCATGAGACAGAGAGGGCAGCCACTCCTCTACCTCGCAGTAATACAAGCCGCTGTTTTCAGGACCTGGCTTGGAGACCGAAAGGCTGAACTGGTTGGGTACAGGGTGGTCAAATCTTAGCTGATGGCCCTTGTCAAACATGTTTTGTAGGGTAGCGTTTCGATAAGCTACGAATATGGAACGAATTCTTGTTTCCTTCTGCCAAAACCATGTGACCTGGAACTCAGATTCATTACTGGATTGTCCCATGATGTGACAAGGGATGGTGAAGTCCTGAGATCTGCTCACATTTAGCTCCAACTCATCCTTTACAATGGACAGGTTTTTTTCTATAAAACAGACACACAGACAAATAGAGGTAATGGGAAAGAGACTTTTTAAAGATTTATAAAAGATCAAATGAACAGAGAGTGTGCAGTAAGGCAACCATCAACAACCATTAGAGAATATATTTTGTAGAGAATTTGGGGTATTATCATACTACCTTCCAGCAATTATCATAATTGCTGGAAGGTAGTAGCATTTAGGGAAATACACTTAGTTGCTGTTTGACCAAGTGTTTGATAAAAAGATTCCTATCAATATTTAGTTTATATTGAAGATGTCATGAGCAGCCTATAGGTCGGTTCAACTACTGTATTCAAACACACAACCAAACACACAGCTACACATAGATTTCTCTATAAAAAGTCATCATACCAGCAACTTTTACAGTCAGCGAGATAGGACCTGCACTCTCTGAAGCCTTTTGCTGCCAGTGACCTTCACGATCCAGCTGGTATTGCTCCACCCGGCACTGGTACATCCCGCTATCCCCCTCACGGGCCCTCTGAATTCTGAGGTAGAAGCTGCTCTGTGTGGGTCTGGTGAGACGAAGCCGCCCCTGCAGATCTCTGAGCGCCCTCTTAGGGTACCACAGCAAACCCATGTGATCGAGCTCTACTAAGAGGACATTTGTCATGGAGGAACCTCCTCCAGTGTAGATCCAGGCAATGTTGTACAGGACAGAAGGACTGAATGCACCAGAGAGGATGTTGCACTTGAGTTCCACATCGTCTCCCTCTCTGGCAATCAACTGCTGCTGCTCTGTCACTTCTAAACGAAGATCGTTGGCTAGAAAACCACAGAGAAGTCAATATTTTGTTATTCCTTTTTATATGGTATGAATTAACTGTGGCTGATTATATATATGGTTATAGAAGATGGAGCTAATTAAAGATAAATAAACTTACCAGGCTCAATAAGATTTACTTCGGTGATTTCTGACTTTGGAGAGAGCTGATACCAGTTACCACGAGGATCTTGTAGCCACTCCACAACCTCGCATGTGTACGAGCCATTGTCCGAGATCTGAGCTTGCCGAATAGTCAACTCAAAACTTGGACCCTTGCTGCGCCTCATGCTGATTCGTTGTCTGTCGCTTGGCTCCACACGGGTCCCAAATGTTATGAGGGCATCCCGGTCCGAGCTTACAATGGTCTTTTTTTCTTCCAGTTGCTGGTGCAGCCAGGTAACGGCATAGCGAGAGGATGCAAAGGGCTCCGAGATAACTGAACACTTTATTTCTATGTCACTGTTTATATTTCTCTTCAAAGTGGGAGGGGAGGTCAGACTGAGTTTGCTCACTAAAAGAGAGAAACAAAAGTGAAGTCATATAGGGTGAGAGACAATGACAGATAGAATGCACAGTGCAGCTTTCATCCAAAAGATGACATGTAGCCATGTGAATCTCAGCGCTACCTGGGTTCGCCACCATCACAGCCACTGCATTGGATGGAGGCAGTTTCCTGTGAACATTTTCGAAAAAGACAGACGCCTGACACTGGTAGGTTCCTGCCTCTCTGTGGCTGGCACCGTTGATCAGCAGAGTGTGAGCGACCTCTTTCACTTTGTTTTCTACTTTCAACTGGTAGACATGCTGGTCTCCAGACCAGCTGATTTCACCATTCCAGGACAGCGTCAGGATGTTGTCTATGGTCGAGGCATCGCGTTGCAGGCTCCAACTCAGAGTTATCGGTACACGTGGCACACGTGGCCCTCGGACCCGGCACAACAACTCCACATTTTCTCCAACAGTCACGATGTGGTTGCGATTGATCAGATTCACTTTCACAAATGACTCTGTGTCAAGTGAGAAACAAGAAATTGGCGATCATACAATCATCTAGCATCCATGATGGGTACAAGTACAAGAGACTTGAGTAAAAAACATTTAGAAAGTTTTCTTCTCTCACTTATATGTGTTGTCCTCTGCACCATTTCTAAAAATCACTCCCTATTTAAAATCATCCAGATATATTAAAAAAATTGCTTCCACCCAAGAATTATCAAGTTCTTCTGTGTCACCACATGGCTTTTGGAGTCTTAACACTTTTGAGAAAATCAGTTTTCCCTCTTAAAATGCTAATTTATGCAGAGAGGTACTCTACACTTTTAGACATTGCATATTAACAGAAGTTTAAAACCCTGGACTTAATAGTAATACTCATTGCACCCTCCAACACAAAGAAAATTGAACTGTACAAAGACATCCTCTAGATTGTCTTTCTTACAGCTTTACTCATGCTCAGGCTTTTAAGTGCAAATAAAAGGGTTTCCTCTTGGAAGAAAGATCATGCAAATGTCATGAAATACTACTTGCTGTTTTTTTAAATGACGTGTGTATAAAGGAGAGTGGAGCCCATGTAGTGCTGAAAATGAAAAATGGTTAATCCTCTGTGGACCATAGTGGTGCCAAAGTGACGATCAGAAGAGTGGTAAAAATATTGGGTGTAATCTCTTGGGAACCATGAATATCAATTTAATATTTCTGGCAACAATTCGTACCAGTGTAATTGTTGGAGGGATGTACTGTTGTACTGAAGTCTGACTAGAACTCACATCCTTGTCTTTACCACTTGTTCAGCAAATATGACAAATATGTGAGTTTCCCACAAAGTTTCATGTTATGTGACAATGGCATGACGTTTTTTCAAAGAATAATTAAACAACTCAACGATTGGAACCTGTTGTCTTGAATAATTTGCACGACACAGACAGAAACACATCTTACCTATGGGTCTCACTGTCACAGTGCTAGTTTGTAACTGGCTGTGGGTCTTGCTGTTTGCTTTCCATTCAGACACATAACACTGGTAGATGCCTGAATCAGACGGTGTGACCTCCTCCAGCTCTAAAGTGAAGGTGTTGGTCGATGGACGTGCTGCCCTCACTCTGCGACTCATTAAGTCCCCATCTATCTCAATGACACCCTCCCGACTTAGTCTGATGATGTTTTTAAACGAGGCTGTTGACGTGGAATGACGTTGCCAGGTGACAGAGAGTTGACTTTTAACCCCATCCACTTTACAGGTGAGCTTCAGCCTGTCACCTTCGTCAACAATCACGTCTTGTTGCATTTCAACTGAGAGCTCACTTTCTGTCATGAGACAAGGGGAACAGACAGAGACATGTGTTTGAGAAGATCATAATTGAAAACACGATTTTCTGAATAGTAGTTAACAGTAGTAAAAGTAATGAGGGTTATGGTCGGATTATATGATACAGGAAAATAAATTAAAACCCTGATTTGATTGCTGTCATTCATTCTGAACATTTCTGCTGGCTGACCTGTGGCTGAGATGCTGACCAGCTGGGGGATAGAAGTCTGCGCTGCTCCTTCTGTAAAGGCACCATCCTGGCCTCTGTCCTGAGGCCATGCCCGACAGAAATATTCCCCCTGGTCCTCAGTTCTGACAGGCTGCAGTTTGAGACGGTACTCTGTGTCCCCGATCCGGGCGGCCCTGAGCTCTCCTTCTTTCTCTCGGCCACTATACTCGGCTCCCACAGACAGAATGCCCGCAGGTCCGATGCGCGCCAGCTCAACACTTCCCCGGAGCCAGGCTACAGAGAGAAACCTTTCCTGCAGACTGTGAGCGTCTACATTGCAGGATAGCGACAGCTCCTGCCCCTCCTGCAGAGTTGTCTGCTGTGTTGAAATTCTCACTACCAGAGACGACGTGTCTGGCACCACTTCTACTTGAGGCAAAACATAAGATTCAGACAAATATGGCAAACAGACTCACACATCCTGTGAAGGAGCCACATTTACTGTAACAAGGGTAGGCAAAGATGAATATCTCAATGTGTGCTTTTAATAGATAATTGAATGATGACTGCTTCTTACCTCTGGCTTTGACATTTAGCGTAGTTTCCTCCGCATCCTTCTGTGTGATAGCATACCAGGAGCGGTCAGGATCTTGGATCCACTCCTGAGCCCGGCAGTAGATCCTGCCTTGGTCTGACAGCTCCAGCTGAGCCATCTGCAGCCTGTATGTGGCCTCTCCCATTTTATCTAACCTTATGAGTCCAGCATGATAACGGCCTTCAAACGCCGGGCCTGGACTCAGGGTGAAATCCCTGTCCAGAGAAATGATTGTCCGAGCGTCCTCCTCCCCGTCTTTCTGGAGATACCAGGCCACAGACAGATGGGTGTGCTGGATGGTGTTGCTGGAGGCTTGGCACGTTAGAGTGAGAGCATCACCCTCGTTATAGCTCAGCGATGTGGAGACAGGTGATGACACACTTAAGGAGTTGTCAATCACTATGGCACAATGTCAGACACAGAGACAAGGACATGGAAGTCACATTTTGCCATCATTTGCCATCTAAAACAGTGATGCAGATATGTTGAAAGATATGTCAAAAAAGTAGAATGGCAATTACCTTTAACTGTTGTCTCAGCATTGTAGGTTCCATCGTAAACAGATTCTGTGTTGATCACAGCGCACTCATAGTCCCCTTCATCACCTTTCTGCAGGTTCTGGATCTCAAAGATGACGGAGTTTGGAGACACGTGTTTCAGAGTAATCTCCTTGCGTGCCACACGTTGGCCATATACGGCATACGCAAAGCTTTCGTCAGAAGTACAGATGATGTTGATCTCGAACGTTGGATTTGCGGGCTTCTTGATACGGAACTCGAATTCCTTTTGAGTGTTGTCGCCTGCAAGGCCGCTCACGTTGCAGGAGATGGAGAGTGGAGCGCCCAACACACGATACAGGGGCCCGGACTGTGCTTCAGTGAGCACTTTGGCCTCTCCTGAGGAAGACACATTGAAATCACATGAAAACAGCTCATTTAAGTGTCAACCATGTTTTGTAAGGGTGCTATTCTCCAGGGAGGAACCTTGGTCTAAGAGCTGCATGAACGTGTGAGACAAAACTACAAAGCCTTTAAGTTGCACAGCACAATACAAGAAATATAAACTTTTACAGTATGAAGTTTATATATTCATTATGCAGTAAAAGGGATCCAACTATATTATCTAACTATTGCAGCTTTTTCAATTCCACGAATTATTTGCCTACACATTAACCAAAAATACTGTTATTAAAAAGAGTAAGTGAATGACATAGGTGAATCATTAATTATAAAATAACAGTTTAATCACAACCTGATTGTGTTAAATGGAATTTTCAGATATTTTAAAATAAACTGCTAAGAACTCATGAGAAATTTACATGAAGTGCAGCGTACTACACACATGTATTACTTGTTATTAATATTGCTTTATATAATCATTAGGGGCACATTCAACTTGCAAAATATGTTCAACTCAAAAACACTAACTGGCTCTCCTTGTTTCCTCCTTATTTCCAATGTCTATCTTCTTTAACAAGAGCATATATTTTCCTAATTAAATAGTTTTCTATATTCCACCATATTTGCATTCAGTTTGATCTCTCAGCAGAATCCAATTCAGCTGCAGGAATTCAGTGAAGTACTCACCGCTGTGCAGGAGTAAACTCAGACAGAGAAGCAGACCTCCCCTGCAACACCTCATCATGAAATCTTTTCAGAAGTATATCACACAGTGTACACAGCAGTCTCTCTGCGTGTGTAGAGTTGTCAGTGTCTTCATACAGTGGTATGAATGTGGCTTATGTTTCCGTGGGTGCACTGAGGAGGAAGTCTGAAATATTTCCTGTACACAGGCAGAATGTTACAGTTGCATCACACTGCAGTAACTTGTGAATCTATTTTCATTGTTGGATATGAAAACATGTGCAGCTGGCTTGTGGTGGAGTTTTGAAAAATTAAAACATTTTTGTTTCACCTGCTAAAAAAAACTATGAAGGCAGACATCAGTGCACTGCACGGTTTGACAGCATCTTCACTATAATATGAAATCAATTTGACTAAAATCACTTCCTTATCAAAATAAGAAAAAGGGCAGTATCTTTTTTCAACCATACCAGTGAAATGGTGATGGCTGACAGATTCTCAGTATACCATATGCTACTCTTTTTAATTCTCATATCTATATATTATATTTACCAACACAGGACTTCTTTAATCCAATCATACAGTAACGAGTGTTAGTGGGTACAGATTCGTGAGAGGAACTGTGTTGCTAAGAAACAGCTCGGGTCCAAGTTTGACCTATTTACCAAAACAGGTAAGTTTGGACTCGTTCACGTCAGATCACGTTTGACGTTGTGTTGTACATCGATGAGGCAACAGTGCCACCTGATGGAGAAGGCAAAGAATCAACATTGTATTCCTGCCGTGGTTTTTATTTTCACTTTTCAGCTTGAAGCCTCAACTGTCATTATGACTGAGGGGGGGTGTATGTTTATGGACAATTAGACTCATTCAAACTTTTCCTATAAAATTAAATGAAAGAAAACTATTACTACATGCATAAAAGTTATAAAGATAAATTGTAAGATATTTTATGCCATATATACACTGCAACAGTGAATACTACATTGCTTTACTTTAAATATGTAACTATATACAAAGAAAAATACACACATGATAAAAGGTATTTGTAGCGCTTACTGTACTTCATTTTAGACAGCACACTTGTGTAGCAGTTATTATTGTAAAACTGAAAAAGGTTTGGATTCCATTTAATGAAAGATTTGAAATTGTACTCAAGCCTCCAAGATGGAGAAGTGCAGGCAGCATGTTTGTGGCTTTAGCAACGCCCACGTAATTTCATGTATATCTTTATGTTTCAATTGACTTGCTGAAAAATATGCCTTAGCCCAGATGACACAAGTGAAAGTACACAAAAGTCTGAGTGTGTTTTTAATTAAATAAGAGAATCTGAAGAAAATTCCATAATATGACAAATAATATAAAAATATAAATACAACAATGCAATGTGGTAGTAATATAATATTATTCATAGTATTATATTCAATACAAAGCAGTGTAAAATATATGGCGATGTGGTAACTGGTCGTTATATGACTAAGTAGTAGCACAAGTACCTCAGTGGTGATACTGAAGGAGGAGCAAAGCTGCTCTTACACTTGCACCCACACTCATCCTGGTCCCAAGCTACTTCTGTGCCTGACTGGTGAAGCGATGACACTAAAGTAAGACGTACAATCTTGTTGATAATTATCCATATGAAAGTATTTAGAACTGAGTCTAAAAGATACTTCTCTTTCAGCCACGTAAAGACGGTGCGTGTTGACAGTTCTCTTGGTTCGGTGAGGTCTGGTGGGGGAAAACCTGGCGCCTGCGGTCCTGAAAAACTTGAAAAAACTGCGTAACTTTAGGGGAACTTTATACTCATCAACACGAAAAGAGGAAGCGACTAGAAACAAGCATTGCTACACACTTACGTTCCTCACAGAGCAGGAATAGGAAGTGTGAAGAGGACAAGAAAAAAACAAATCCACATCTCAGAGTGACAGAAAAGTTGCAAGCACAACCCACAGGGGGGGTTATTCTCTGTCTTCTCACAGTGGTGAAGGAACACCTGAAGAAGCTGCAAGCTGTTCTCATGAGCGTCTGAAGAGCTGCTGTGGAAGATGAGTGACTCACTGGAGAGGACCACAGACTGTCCTACGCCTCTTCCAGGAGACGAATCCAGGCCAAACGAGGAGACGGAGAGCCTGACAGGAGCAGAGGAGTTGTGCTGGGAGGATGGAGGTCTACCTGTGGAGCTGCAGAGAGGGATGGAGACTCTGCGGGTCAACAGTGAGCTCACTGATGTGATTCTGAGAGTTCAAGGGCACGACTTCGCTTGCCACAGAGCCATACTTGCCGCTGCCAGTCAGTACTTCAGGTAAAAAATAAACCGGCATTGTCTTATTTATATTGTGATGGAATTGCTGAGTTTTGACTTTTCTTTCTTCTGTGTAGGGCAATGTTCTGCAGTGGGCTGAAGGAGAGTCATGAGGAGTATGTGCAAATACAGGGGCTGGACAGTGGGACAATGGGCTCTCTCCTGGAGTACACTTACACCAGCCGAGCCCTCCTCACACACTCCAACGTCCAGAGGATACTTGAGGCTGCCAGTCAGTTTCAGGTAAAGTGACAGTTACCTACAAAGAAATTCAAGATAGTCAATTAGTTCACTTATATATTTACTTATGTCAACCTTGAACACATTATCAGCAGCAAATATACTTTCTTAGCATTGTAATTGGATTTCTAGTAAAGAAAAAACTTTTTTAAACCTCCGCCAAGGCCCCTAACAGTTACCTTATGAAACCACATTTAAATTCACTGGATCCAGATCTTTTTTCGATCTTCTCCAAATTGCACACACTCATTAATATCGGTTCTCTAAAGGTTCCTGTTTTTTCAACGAGATCCACACATTTTTCTGAGAGAAAAAATGAACAACAGCTCATCTCACGATGTTACAGAAAGTGAAAACAAAATTATTATGATCTGGATCTGCACTAAACTTTAATGAGTTCTTCCCCAAACCATATCAAGTTTCACAGAAAAGGGTTGAGTAGTTGTTGTGTAATCCTGGTAACACACAAACAAATAAATGCTCATGAAAATGAAACCTTCTTGGCGGAGATATGTTAAGATTAGTAATTAGCACTGTAATCACAGAGTGAATGGATTTTTATTATGATGTACTTAATGAAAAGCTACTGACTTAAATAATACAATAATATACTCAACGTATAAATAAACCAGTAAAGAAATAGGTTATTTTTAGCTTAATGAAGTTGAATCTCAAATTGTTTTATCAGCATAAGATGTGAAATTCTCTTTTGGCAACAAAAGCATGACACAATCCACAATGTATTTGATTTAGCAGCTAAAACTAATATGTACATGTGGGGAAACACATTCAGGAAGACAGGTTGAATGATAGTGATGTGGTGATGGTGCTGCTGTGGCGTAGGGCCCCATTTCAGTTGCTCCACTTCTGATTTTCTAACTACACTCAGTATTTCCCCAACTGAGTGGAACAAAACATCTCACTGTGTCAGAGAGGTGTCAAACTAAGAGAGAAGTGAAAGTTGCCCAGTTGTTAACACTAAGGATCAGTTTTCCATACAGGCTTAATTTAACTGCACAGCTGTGTCAGAAAACAAGTGAGGCAGGTGTTGTCATTCTTCTGTTTTTGTGACGCTCAGTTTGTTTTTAGCTGTTTGAGATAAAAATGTTTCATTGGTCCTCATTTCTTGGATTTCTGACGTTTTAGGGGCAGAAGTGGGTTCAGGTTTGAGGTTAGAATTAAATCACTTCAAGGTTTAGGATAAAAATCTGAGGATAAATGTAAAGGAAGTTAAAAGAGTTGTTCATCTTTTTATGGCTCATGACATCTTTGATTTTCCAAAAAACATTTGCTTGTAGTTTTATCTGCTAATTCACCTCAATACTGAGAAACCCTGCATGTGTACATCAGTGTTTTCTATTTGTTTCTTTTAGTTCCTGCGTGTGGTGGATGCATGTGCCGGCTTTCTGATCAACTCTCTGCACCTGGACAACTGTATTGCGATCCTGAATCTGGCCGAACATCACGTCCTGCCTGTCCTGAAGTCCAGGGCTCAGGACTACATCACCTCTCGGTTCTCCCAGGTTGTCAAGCAGGAGGATTTCCTGGAGCTTCCAGCAGATTCGCTGGAGATCGTCCTGCAGAGGGATGACCTGGATGTGAAGTGTGAGGAGTGTGTTTTTGAGACACTCATGCACTGGGTGAGGGCCAGGCAGGATGAACGCTATCCCTTACTGGCCAGGTTGCTGTCAGCTGTGCGACTGCCGCTGCTGGATCCAGCATATTTTGTTGAAAAAGTGGAGTCGGATGAACTGATACGACGCTGCAGTGAGGCCTTTCCTTTGTTGCAAGAGGCTCGCAGCTATCACCTCTCTGGCAGAGAGGCAAGTGAAGGACATTATTCATATGACAGAATATGAGTCAGCTATTTCTCAACATTCTTGCCTTCATTGTACTGTATCTGAAACACTGATACTTTAACATTGAAGTGTCGCTCTGCATGTCAGGGGCAAGAACTGCCTTCTATTTTATAAACGTTCCATATTTTAGAATTTTGAGATTGAAAATCTCTTCGTATGTTTGTAGGTGGTCTCTGAACGAACCAAACCCCGCGTACGGCACTTTCTATCCGAGGTATTCTTGATCATTGGAGGCTGCACCAAAGACGAACGCTTCATTTCCACCGTCATCTGTTTAGACCCCCTGAGACGCAGCAGGCTGGAGGTCGCCAGGCTGCCAATGACAGATAATGACAACGAGTCCCAGAACCGCAAATGGGTGGAGTTCGCTTGCATCACCTTCCGCAATGAACTTTACATATCTGGTGAGAAAAGTCACGCACTCATAGTTTCATCTCAAAAACAGACTCATTTCCTGTGAGATGTGGGACCTTTACAGTGCAGATGAAAGTGACATTGTTCAGGAACTGACACCTTAGTTGTGGTTACTTTAACTGTTGAGATACTCACACACAATTAAAGTTCAGGTTTGTCACTGGATGTAAGATTTTTAATCAGAATAACTAAGGTAGATCATTACATTGATGTTTTAAGATAAGGCTGCAGTGTCTGTGACAGTGTTGTGTAACCCTTCTGCAGGAGGTAAAGAGACACCACATGATGTTTGGAAATACAACGGCGCTCTGGACAAGTGGATCCAAATCGAGCCCCTGACAACTGGGCGCTGGAGACACAAAATGGCGGCGCACGGTGGGAAGGTGTACGCGCTAGGTGGATTTGATGGAAATCAGAGACATGCTAGCGTAGAGGCCTATGATCCCTTTCACAACCGCTGGACACAGGTACATAAGTTTGACATTATATTATGTGCTTTAGTTTAACGTCATGACATTTTACTTTTACAGATGTATGTCCAGGATCTTTACTGTTTTGATTGATTTTCATGGCTCTATCAACACTGTTTCCAGTCGCAGAAGGCGGCTATTGACCACGAGCTAAAAAAAAGTCCAAAGGGGGGATTGATTATTGGTCTTCGATTTTTCAAGCAGTCACAAACATGACTTAATATGAATCCTAACGTTGGGCCATGTGTGCTAGATCACTTGGAAGGCAGCTGAGTGAAAACACACAAATTCAACTATACAATGTGACTGATGTGAGTATCGTGGTTTGCAGCTTGGATAAGGTCAAAGATATTAATCAGACGACTGTGACCATCGACCCCCGTCACCCAAAATTTCAGTCGTTCTAAAATTGGGCAAAATGTCCAACTCAAGCATTGGATTTAAAAAAGAACTAAAAAGCAGTGGATCTAAATGCTTGATTATTTGCTTTTATTTCTGTTAGGTGTTTTAATTTACTGCATCAAAACAATATACTTCATGTGTTACCTTCTGTGTCTGTGCGGCTCCACGTCATCTCATATTCTTACTCAGAGGCCCTTCTGGTTGTATTTACTGCAGGTGACTCCTCTTGCAGTTGGTGTGAGCTCCTTCGCTGCTGCAAGCTTTGACAGATGGATCTACGTGATCGGTGGTGGGCCCAACGGAAAGCTGGCAACTGATAAGGTTCAGCGCTGGGAGCCCGGGACTGACTGCTGGGAGCTGCGAGCGCCCATTCCCAATGAAACCAAATGCACAAATGCTGTCACATTCAACAACGGCATCTATGTAGTCGGTATGTTGTGGTTATGTGTACATAAGTGATGTGAGGTGTTTATACCTCAGTTGAAATGTTTTTATTTCATGCTACTTCCGATCTTTTTCACAGCAGACATGTTGTGACAGTATAGGAAAGACCTGGGTGTTCCTAACATGAGTTATGGCTCTATTTTATTGAATATTCCCAATAGATTTTAAAGGTTTTAGGTGAAAGGGATCTGATCTAATCCTAGTGATGTTTCCACTAGTGTGTAATAATCTAAATTGTACAAATGTTTTCTTTACCCTAGAATGGGCTCTTTATATCTAAATCATTTTTATTTACACCAGGAGCTGGTCCTCTCTTTGTAGGCCACCATGTTTTTTACAGTAGTCCTAACTGATCAAACTGAACACCTTTTGAGTTTATATGAAAACTCATGCTACCACAGGTTCTCTGTCATGTTTGGAAGGGGAGGGTGAGTTCAGGCGTATTCAGCTGCAACATGCAACTTCACCACTAGATGTCACTAAATCTTACACACTGAACCTTTAAACTGCATAGTAGCACATAAAGTTGAAATAAGCTCTGCCTCTACCTTGACTAAGTAAACAGTGAATGTCTACTGACACATTAATAATAACTCAGTAGTTTAACTTTCACCGAAGTATATTCTTTTTGTACTTTTAGTGAGTGATAAGTTCAGGGCAGCACTTTCATTAATGAAGCATTCTTATATTGTAAAATCACTAGTTTCACTTGTAATGGATCCTCAGCTTAAGGGGGTGCAAGTATCTGTGAGTAAAAGTCTGTGTTGACATTCAATGACATTTTACACATGAAGAATTTCAGTCCCATGAGCTGTTTCTATATGAATATTAAATATGAACTTCAGTATAGTTACCATTCAATGCTGTCTGCTCCCAGGTGGTGCCATGCATGCCATGTATTGCTACTCCCCTCTGTCTGACTCATGGTCCCTCGTGACTCGTCTGGGGGAGAGGGCAAGCTGTGCCATCGCTGCCTGTAACAACAAACTGTTCATCACCGGAGGCCGGGACAACAAAAACCAAGTCATCTCCACTGTGATGTGCTGGGACGTTGCCCAAGAGGTGCTGACAGAGGAGTGTGTTTTACCTATGGGAGTGTCGCACCACGGCAGTGTGACACTCATGAAGTCCTACACACACATACACAGAATAGCACCTGCAGCAGAGTGCCAGTGACACAGGATTCTGTGAACAGGGCCTCGTGGGTGCAGAGAGTGGAAGTAAAATGATGCATGAAAAGTCAAACAAATAAAGGTTTTTTACATGCATCACTACAGTTTGTTGACAAATGTAATGAACCAAAACCTACGAAATGCTTCTTCCCCCGCTGTTTATAAAAATAGACAATGCCATTTTTCATTCAATTCTGCCTTTGAGGACAAAATGGATGTGATATTATTATTTACTAAATCCCCATCAAGCAATATTACAAACAAATTAAAAGGTGATTAATTTTCAGAGGAAATGAAAGACAATTATTAGTGCAAAATGGCTACTACTCATTGAAGTCCACCTTTTATCAAAGCTTGTTATTTTGTGTTTGATTTGTATAATTGAGTATATATTATTGTGCATGAGAAAATAAGCACTTTTTGTAACCAACTATCAAGCACACAAGAAAATACATGTTTAACAATAACATACATGTTTAATAATTGGATTTTCATCAAAACAACTTGCCTATAATCTATAAGCACAAGCCAAAATATTGCTGTATAATGTTAAAACAATATAGTGATTAAGTGTCAGAAATAAGTTAACAAAACTTTTGTTTTCTAGCTTGACTCTAAATTTCTAAAACATAAATTATTTCTTCGTACTCGTTGTCAATTTACTCACAAAATGTTGTGGGAAAAGAGTCAGATATATAAATGCAAATCAGATATTATATTCATTATTTAGATTATTTGTTGTTTATTCAGTTGAACTCTAACTGCACTTTGTTTATCTTCTTTGGAAACTTTTCATTTTGTTGCTGTTTCTGTCTCTGGATTTCTTTGTTCAGATTTCTTTGTACAAGAGACATTTTTCTACATAAACAACTGCAGATGAATTAAACTTCATACAAGGACCCAAATAAACATATTGTTGAACATTACTCAGACTTTTGTCTTAGTCAAACTATTATTCAGCAAAAATGTGTGAAAGAAGCATCTTAAATGTAATAAAAAAGCAAATACTGGGTTATCACGTGTGTACAAACTCACCACACTACATCTGTGTAGAAGCGATACCTGCCAGGTCAAAGGTTAAACCACGTAGTGACGTTTCCGGTTGTATTTTCAAAGTAAAAATACAGGCTACTAAAATTAAAGAAAGAAAAAAGATAATCTGGAGAAAACGCGTTGAGTTAAAACTTAGTGGATTCTACAACTTTGTCACCTCAGTATTTTATATGTGAAAAAGTGACTGCCTTTCAATGCAGGTTAATGAAGAGACAGAGATAAATCAATCAGCAAGTGGAAAAAGTCAACTATAAATAGAGTTGACTGTCTGTACAAAGAAAACATGTTTAAGTATACATTTGAATATTTATATATGTATTATAAAAACTGTTGTCAATTTACAAGCGTCCAAACTCACATTCACCTGCTGTTATTTTGAAATGTGGAAATGTATGTTGTTATTGTGAAGGTCCACACAGCGGAAGCTCAGGTTTACACCTGTAGAAACAAGAAACTTTCACTTGGGAGAATTTTTGAATCACACCTGTTGGTTTAACTGCGCAGGTAGCGCGCACACTTTCTTTTTAACTCGTCCAAACGTTTTCCATGGAAACTAAAATGAGTTCTCTGACGTTTTATCTCGACACGGACAGAACTTTATCCTTACGCCAGAAGTGATAGTGAATTCAAACCACGGCTTTGAATCAAAGGCATTTCTGCGTTTCTGACATGGCTCTGCGTTACTTCCTGGCCTGTTTGGTTCTTCCCTCCTGTCTCGGTGAGTTGTTGGTGATTGTACCGGTTTTTCTTGTTTCCAGTACTTTAGTTTAGGACATGAGAAGGACACTGCAGACTGAGGACATGCAGACTTTACTGGCAAAGTCTGTCTGGTCTAGTTAATGATTTAAGTAAAGTTGTGTGAAAGAGTTCAGCTCAAATCTGGTCCGAGCCACGTAGAATTAGTATGTAGGGGTGGGCAATACACCAACATCAATAA